GCCACTACAGGACCTTGGTTGCAACAATGATCTATACGGTCCCAGTTTATGTCAATAACGTCACAGGGTGGAATCGGGGGGAGGGAGGAGAGGGGAAGAGGTCACGTTGAAGTAGAGGTGACTCAGCAGCATCAGATACCAGCAGGTCTTTAGGGTATCTGAAGTCTTGCAGAGGGGGAAAACACATCATCGGTGCCAGCATACAACTCGGTGCTGAAGGAGGGATGTGTTTTCTTTGCAGAGTCAGTAGATGGAGCCAGAGACTTGGCTGGTGCTGATGACTTGGCCGGTGCCAACGCTTTCAATGGTGCCAAGGGCTTGCTCAGTGTCAAAAAGGACAATGGTGCTGGCAGTTTTGCTGGTGCTGTTGCTCCTGAAGTCAGCCTGTTTCAATCTCCAGAGCTGAGAGATGGTGCCGAAGGCTGTGGGTCTGCCTGGCTAGGGTCTTTAGACCATTTCTTCATCTTGGTATTGGAGGTACGCGGATGGGCCCTGGAGCTATGTCCCGTCAGATGATGTCGAGGCAACTGACCTCACGGGGGATGGCATTCTGGTGGGCTGTGCCTCAAAGTGTGAGGAGGGAGCCCATTTCTTTTCATCCGAGTGAAAGAGAGACTAATTTCTCTTCAAGGGACATGGAGAGTGAGGATCAGCAGTTGACCTGCAGTGCATGAGGGCCTCATGGGGAGAGTCTGAGCCTGGGTCCAATGCAGGTTGCAGTCATTTCTCCATGAGAAGTTTTAATCAAATGTCCCAATCCTTTTTGACTCTATCCATCAGGCTGTGGCAGTGGGAACACTTATGGGATGTGTCCCTCTCCTAGAGAGCGAATACACTGCGGCTGGCTGGCAGTTACTGGGAAGGCCCTGCAAGAGATGCACCTCTTAAACCCAGGGGATCTGTGCATAAGGGTGAGGAAAAAAGCTTCCCAGTTAGGAACAGCAGGAAGCAGAAGAACCAAAACCTAAGCTATGAATAACTTTAAAGGTAAAGTTAAAAACAAAACAAAACATGTTTTTAAATAGAGGAAAGGAGAAGAAGAAAATACTAACTACACTACAACTAACAGGTAAGGCACTATCTACTGAGGGAACAGGAGAAGCAGACTCTGCTGCAGATTCTGTCCCAGACCAAAGGTGGTAGAGAAGGAACTGGAGGCAGTTGGCCTGCACAACACTGTATATATGTTCTGCTCACAGCATGGGATGGGGGAGGTGTACATGTGCAGTCCAACGGGCACCGCTGATGAAGATCTCTGATCCCATGTGCAGGGGGCGCTGCCGCACCTACAAGAGGAGCTCCCAGAGGGATATCACTTGAAGAAGAAACAAAGGTGACCAGTGAAGACGCAGTTGAGGGAGGAGTTGCCTACAAGCCAGTTCATCAATCATTGAAGACAAAAGTAGTTGGAGGAACAATATCCTCCATCCAGAGCTCAGAGAAATTAAATTACATGCATAAGGCCAATAAGTATGTCAGTAGCACAACCACAATTAGAACTAGAGTTCCTGACATGCCACACTTCACTCATTCTTTTAGATCAGACATTGCCCCTTTTAAATGAGAAAGCAACTGACTTTAATATGATTTTTGTTATTTTATAATTTGCTGCTTTTTTAATTTAAAGCAGAGATTGATGTTGATTTTACCCAAAACATGCACTCTCACTGGCCGATCTTCTTTAGACCCTAAAAGATGTGGAATGCACTTTCATTTAATACTATTCAAACCACGTTTCCTACATAGAACTTAGTTGAAATGTTCTCTTATATATTTTGTATATAAAAACAAACAAAATATACATGCTATCACATGGTTTTGCTGTATAAAAAATCTCCTTCTCCACAGACCTTCCAACATGTTTCATCCCTAAACTGAGTCGACTTGTATTCACTCTTCATGTCAATTAAATTCATAGGAACAAAGGAATCACCAGACTGGATCAGACGAGGTACATCTAGCCCATCCCGTCTCCAACAGTAACCACTTACAGATGTTTCAGAGGAAAGGTGTAAGAGACCTGGAGTAGGCAAATGCAGGATGTTTCCCACATTAGGTCTCACCCTGATCTCCAACAGTTAGATTGGCTTAAGTCCTAAAAGCATGAAGTCTAGTATCCCTTCCAAAATTTAGTCTCTCTGCTGAGACTTCCAAGAGGGGTCCCAATTAACATCAACTAACAGTGTTTTATGTGACAATGTAGACACTTGTCCACTAGGTATTAGACTGACAAACTCATTTAACATAGAATGCACAGCCTCTAAATTGTGAATTACTGTGGGTCACTGTCATCCTAGGCTGGAATCAAAATAGCCTTTTCTACAATAGGCATTTCTCTAATAATAATTTACTACTTTGGCAGCAGCGGTGGGAGTGCTAGTGTAGACAATGCACTGGTCCCCTGAAGCATTTTAAGTATTGCATTATGTGGACCTGCTTTGAGCAGCATTAGATTATGCTGAGAAAACACCAGTAGTTCCTGAAGCCATATCTATACAAGCTCTGACCACTGCTACCATAGGTGAAGCTGACTTGAGAATACTAACAGTGAGAAATGTTTGACAAGGAAGCATAGTGTAGAGTACACACACCCTCCAGTGACCTCGAGGCAAAAAGCAGAAAATCATATTCCTATCACATTTTGCTTGCTATGAACATTGTTACCAAACAATCACTCCTGTATTCCCAGACATTTTCTTCCTTTTAAAAAACAGTTTCAAATGAATAAAGGCAAGAAAACATTTATGGTTGTTAAGCTGCAAGTAATATTGGTTATTTACTTGTAAACTGATGTGTGGTGTATGAACAGAATGTCCAGAAATACAGTTGCTTTCATTTGCACTTTATCACCACAACATATTTATACTGTATGCCTTACAGAAAACAAACGATATGCAACATACTTGAAATATGGTAACAGCATACAATGAGTTACTTGGATTTTAACTCAGGGAATTTGATCACAGCTGAAAAACGTAGTGTAACAATACTATTTTTCCCTATACCCAATATGCAAAAAATTGAGTTTGGAAATTTAAGTTAGTGTGTGTCCACAAGATCTCTAGTTCATTTCAAAGTATTTCCTTTCTTGATCATTTTAAACTATGAAATGCATAAAATAACTTTGCAACATAATGTACTAAATGCTTTGAATTTAATATTTTCTACATTCATACCAAAACCAATTAACAGTTTTTACAAATAGTGTTATTTACTAAATTACACTCTTCTACAACAGTGCAATCCATGTACATATGCCAACATTAAATGAAATTTCAAAAATAAGAGTACTTGACTACTGCATATACTCTATTAAAACCAAGACAGACTTTAACATTCTCTTTTCTAGGAGAGACAAATTATTCAGCTTTCCAGAAGAACATGCAGGAGAGAGGAATAGAAAAGAAATCTCCTGCCACCTTCAGGCTGAGGCAGCAGGAGGAAAATGAGCTTTGGATCTGCAGCTATATATATTTCTAATCCAGGCAGTTGAATGTTTCTCAGACACACACAGAGAGCCTAATATAAGATATCAATGAACTTTTAAAAACAATTTTCTTGTGTTTTTCATATATTAAAGTGAAAAGCTCAAATATCAAGGCCTTTTTTTGTGTCGTGGGCATTGTACTTTATAATGTACACATTGAAGTGATCAGTATTTTTAATAGTTGCAACAGGGGCAATAGGGACAACTCTACTGTGAAGTTGGTCAGTTGTATTAAGACTGAACAACAGTAAAAATGAGTCTGCCTACTGCTATTCATAGCAAAATTAGCATGAGGTGGAAAAAAAAACTAAAAGTGAAATAAAACTCAAGAAAAAAACTTAAAGGAGACATTTTCCTTCTCTGCTCCTAAAAATGGATACATGCTGCTTTCTCTGGAAGTAAGTACCAAACTGAAGTCAGGTAGCTGCTGTAACATGTATGGTTATTGCCCATCTGCCTGTAAAACCCAGCAGACTGGGGAAGGAGGTTAAAACCGATATAAATGAAGATTAGACAGAAATCTTTGAAAGCCAAGTGAAAATAGTTAAGAGTCAAATGAACGAACTTAAAGAAACCCAGTTTTTCTTTAAACATTGTGGTAGGGATCAAGTATCAGGGGGTAGCCGTGTTAGTCTGTATCTACAAAAACAACAAGGAGTCTGGTGGCACCTTAAAGACTAACAGATTTATTTGGGCATAAGTTTTCGTGAGTGAAGTGAGGTTTTTACTCACGAAAGCTTATGCCCAAATAAATCTGTTAGTCTTTAAGGTGCCACCAGACTCCTTGTTGTTGTTGTGGTAGGGATGTTGATTTTAGGCTGAAGAGCTGCTTTCTTATTCTTCAGCCTAAAAT